AACAACTTTTAAAGCGCTCCATGGCAATGGACCTAGGTATTTGCAAGACCGCCTCCTACCAAATATCTCCCTTCGACCAGTCCGCTCCCACAGAGAGGGCCTCCTTAGGGTGCCGTCGGCCAGTCAATGCTGGCTGGCGACCCCCAGGGGGAGAGCCTTCTCTGTGGCAGCTCCTGCCCTCTGGAATGACCTACCCCCCCGACCTACATACAACTATGGACCTGCGCCTCTTCCGCCGAGCCTTGAAAACCCATCTATTCCATGCGGCCGGCCTGGCGTAGTTTTGATTGGGCTTTGCTAGGGGTTTTATATGCGGTATTTTAGAGCAGGCTTTTTATTCAATATTTATTGTGATTTTTATTATTGCCTGTTCACCGCCCTGAGTCCCGTAAGGGAGATAGGGCGATATATAAATTTAAATAATAAATAAATAAATAAATTCCCAGAATTCCTCAGCCAGCATGCCTGGCTGAAGAATTCTGGGACTTGAAGTCCACAAGTCATAAAAGGGCCAAGTTTGAAGACCCCTGCTGTAGATCAACGGCTTTTAGCCTTTTGGGCACCAGGGACCGGTTCTTTGGAGAGCGGTTTTTCACTGGATCTGGAGGGGGGGCAAGGTTTTGCCTGCATCCTGTATGTGCACGGATGGGTTTCTACTCATTTGCATGGCCCAGTTCCTGACAGGCTGCAGTCCCAATGCTGTAGATAACTCTTTCGTTCTTCTGTAGTTGCTGTCAATCTACAATATTTCCAGTTTTCTCTAGTGAAGAAACTAGAAATTCAGAATCTACTTTCCAATATTTCATTCCAGCTGTTACTTCATATATGCTTGAAATGAATTTGGGACTTAAAGACTTTCCAGTTTTGGAGCTTTCTGAACCCAAGCAGGGGTTGGAACACCCTCAAATCTGCCAAGAGAGTTCCACTCCCAAAGATGAAGGCAAATTGCCAAAATTCAGAGATGTGATATTCTGCCAATTTCTGTGGAAAACAAAAGAAATATACTGCATTCAGTTTTTAGGGCAAGCTTAATTTATATATATATATAGAGAGAGAGAGAGAGAGAGAGAGAATACTAAAAACAGAAAGGTGATTCCTGGGCAAACTCATATCAGCTGGCATAAAAATGTGTGAACACCAGGAAGTTTATAAAACTATAAAAGTTTAATAAAACACAATACCAAGCTTTCGCTGGCAACTGTCAGCATCATCAGGGTATATATCCTACCTATTTAAAAAAATAAGAACTCAAGAAACTTGCCCATTTGTTTTACATAATGCCATTGCAGCCTCAGGCTGCCAAAAATAATAAACATTTAAAAGTTCTATTCCAGCTGACAAAAAGTCTCATAGAAAATGGCATTATATAAGCTTGCCAATTAATAAATGGCTAAAGTAAAACTAGGTTTTCAGTAATCATGACCCCTTTATAAAATAGTTGAGGCTCAAAGGAGAAAAAGTGATTTGAAGTTTGCACAGGTGTACACATAGCATCTATCAGCACTTGTGTCTTTCTGCCCAATTCTAGCAAAAGAAGTTTGTTCTTTAAGGAGAAGTCAGCAGGTGCTACTTGTGTGCTCATGTGTATTCTGTATCACCTTTTCCCCTTCACATTTAGATCTCTGCAGTCTTAATATCAGCATTCCCACAATAGCTTCAAAAACCTCTTTTTCTTTTCAGTATTTAGCAAAATGTTATAAAAATATTCACATTTCTATTGTAAGTATATGCCATTTTAACCATATATATTTGATATTTTTCTATTAATATGGATAGTTAGCACCGGAATGATTTTTGTTTTTGACAAAATCTAGCTATATATTAATAAATCCACAGTCTAGTACAATGATGGTGAGCCTATGACACGTATGTCAACGGTGGCATACCACAATGTTTTGAGTGACATACCCAATGTTCACGAATACCCAACAACTATTCTCAAAAGCACACCCTGTTATTTCGTGATTTTCAGAAGCCACACAAGAATGTGTGCTCTGGACTCTTCAAAGGTTGAGCAAGAAGACTATGTTCTCTCAGTAAACTGTGTGAGAATGGGATGTGCTTTCGCACAATTTTCAGTGGCTGCACAGGCCACGAAAGAGCATTCTCCAAAGTCACCTCAAGAACAAAGGCCTCGTGTGATCCAGAACAGCCTCAGGTAGACCATAGCAGAGTCTATGAAGTGCTGTTCACAGGCAATAGCACTGTTCTCCAAGGCTCACATTTCTTGGGGATGACACAAGATGGCCTTTTAGAATGGTGGTAGGACTCAAATCAAGACCCAGGCCTCTATTTCAGACCCAACTTTGGCACTGCTGTTCAGGGTCACCTAGATGGAGACAAGATAGGGCACTGTTTCTCTTTTGTTCGGGGTGACATACCTACAGAGTCAAAGTAGGCATTTTCTGAATTTTTGAAATGCCAGGCCACAATGATTCACCATCAATGGTCTAACACTATATTGTATACTCCACATGTAACTGCCTATATGCTTCAGACATCTAATTTGATAAGAGGCACTATTTTCATTCTGCACCTTCTGTTAGCAGACCTTTTTCTTAAAGCAAGACTGTTTAAGGACCCTGAGGCAGTGGCAAACAGATGTTACCATAACACAAGTTTCTGTGCTCCAATAAAGAAATTAACCCAACTGTTCA